AGAGAGGGGAGGGAGAGAGGGGAGGAAGAGAGGGGAGGGAGAGAGGGGAGGAAGGGAGAGGGGGAGCGAGAGGGAGAGGAGGAAGGGAGAGGGGGAAGGAAGAGGGGGAGTTAGAGGGGGGAGGGAGAGGGAGATAACTGACGGCTGATTGACGCACTCAGAGGAGGGCGATGTTTACGTCCGCCGCCCAGCCTGGTCCTTCCGACTGCCACTCACTGGATAACTGTGCGCAGATCAAAAACCTAACATAACAACCTAACCTAACAACCAAACCTAACAACGCACAGGAAAGTCCAAAACGTGCTGTGGTGCGTGCTGGTCCGACCCGGGCGGCCGGGCGGTTGGACCGCTCAGAATGGCGTGGGCTCGCCGCTCAGGACACTTAACGAGGAAGGAGTCCTCTAGAGCCCCGGAATCTTTTATGACCAGTAAGTTGCTTCGACATAGGTTTGTCGGTGTACATCGGTACTGAAAACTTGAAACGCACTTTCCTCCCATTTTTGATTCGCGTTACCGTGTGCAGCCCCAGACCACATTTTTTGAGCTGACTAGCCCCTTTGCCTAGTAGTAGACTATACTTGTGCCTCGCTTGTGCCTTTCGTTTGACGAGAGCGATTTTTAATATCTCATTTCTAAAGTATTAAAAAAGGGACAAAGTGCAAGCACTGTGAAAAATTGTCGTACCGGGTACAGGAAAATTTTCCATGGAAGAAGTCGTACAAGTACAATCTAAAATTGTACAATTTACTAGCCCTATGTATCGGCTTGGAATCGAATATCGAGCGACAGTGGGAGGTTGTACATGTACGACTCGTATTGTAAATGGCATATTACAAAATATATCGTACATGTACAAATATATTTCTCACAGTGAGACAATTAAAGTCTCTTCTATACAAGGAGTCCGTAAGCGTGCTACGTCAGATAAAAGAGAAGGCTTCCGTTGACTCTTTGGCGGTTAGCTCTTGGTGGATTAAAAAGTAAGAACGTGCTAGCATGATATTGAGTAGGCAGTCGTTGACAAAAAATCGCTAAAAATAAAAAAGATTAATCAAAAAGAACTCAGTCCATTAGATTGCGATGCTAAAGAAAATTCTCGCACCCAGAAAATGGTGGTCTTTGAACAGGGCGAAATGCGTTGCTTCAACGCTATTTTTACCTCCAAAAATACAAGGAAAATTGTCTTTAACTTAAGGAAAATAACGTTAGAATACAGTAAAAATTTCTATAGATC